GCTGCTGAGTGGCCAGGCCCGAGGCAGGGGGTGGACGGAGCATCTTCCTGTTTCTCTCTGCTCTTTGCAGCCGAGAGGAGTGCACCTGTGCCGGGCTATTGCGGGCAGCAGCGTTCCTTGAGAAGGTGCCCTTACCTGGCCTGCAGGACCTGTGTCACCATGACCAACAGAGGGCGGTCTTTGCAGTACCTTCTCAACCTTCTGGTCACCTATCCAGAAAGCTGCTTCTCTGGTAGCTTCGTGAAACCGTTGGTGACGGGAGCTTAGGACATTGGCGAACCTGCTCATGTCCCTCCGCAGTGACAGAGCTCCTGGCCGTCGCAGGTGAACCTCGGGGTGGCCCTTCACGCCTTGGCAAGCCCTGCGGCCTCCAGCTAGTGCTGAATCCCAGTGAGTTAAGTTAAATATGGTTTGTGGGAGAACTCAGCTAATATAGACTATTAATTTACGTAATTCCAGTTCCAACACATCTCCAGCAGGCTCATTGGCCTGTATCATCCAGAGCATTGCCTCAGACCTATTTTTCATCTTATTCATAGACCCTTGATTTACATAGCAGCCATTTAACGGATAGAATCGCAATGATCAAATGATCCGGGTTGGATCATTTAAACCAAAATCAACATTCAGGGCTGAATTGTATGCCTGGCTCCCTACCTCGATGCAGAGCACCGTTTTCCTCGTATTTTAGATCAGGAAAACAGTCTCCTGCCAGCCCCTCAGCCTGTCCCCTCCCTCCCCACTGGCTTCGACTTCGGTCTGAAGATGATTTCTGCTACATCTGGCCCCGTTTGGAGAGCTGCCACGCTCCTCGTCAGCAGAGGGGCCGAGAGCCTGTGGCTTCTAGCGGTGACAACAGCAGCTGCCTCCCGCGCTCCGTGCACATCCTGGTAGAAACACAATAACCGTGTTGCGGAGTTCAGAGAATCAGCATTCCTGCCGGGCGACTGGGGACTCCGCACAGACGCCACATGGAGAAACATTGCTACACCTTACCCAGGACCAGTGGTTACAAATGGCAGCTATGGGGAGAAGATCATCGCGAATGGCCAGCATCTCTCTCTCTCTCTTTCTCTCTCTCTCTCACACACACACTTCAGAGTAAAATGAAACAATTTTTTCCCTCACCCATAAGAACTTTTTAGTGTCAGTGATTCTCATAATTTACTGCTCACAAAAACGCCTCTTTCTGCTGCTAGACTCCAATTTTGACCCAACAGGGGCGGTGTGCAGGAGTCCCGGAGGGTGACCTTTTAACCAGCTTGAGTCTGGCAGAGGTCGGTCGCCTGCACTACACCCTTTGAGAGACGCTGTTGAAGAGTCTTGAATCATTTATGGGACAGTGGCAAACTATTTACGTAAGTGTCATTGCAAGAAGAAGAAGATGAAAACAACGTCATACCGTTCCTCTCGCTTTCCCTTTTCTCCCCCACAAATGAGTGCCACTTGTTGCGGGCACTCCAAGAAACGCAAGTGCAAGCTGTGATGTTTGTGGCCGAGGAATTATCCTTAGGGAGGCCAACCCTGCTTTGCCCTGCCCCCGGGAGGTGCCCCAGCACACGGGACTCCGGCACTCCAAGAGGAAAATCCCAGGGAAAGATGACAACAGGGCACTAGGATGGTGGCAAAGTAAGCACCAGCACGTCGCTTTGAGCCGTGAATGAGAAAGCAATTGATCCTGACGGTGGCGAGAGCGGAAAGCTTTATCAAAGAATTTGCATCAGCCAACAGGGAATGGCCCACGCAAAGAAAACAGCATTTCCAAAGCCACAGAAGTAAGAAAGTATCTGAAGACATTCAGGAAACACCACGCGGGAAGAGTGCGTGTGAGAGGGGAACTCACGGGGAAAGGGGTCAGAGACTCGGCCACCAAAGGCGGCGCAAGGGCTTTGAACACCTGCTCCATCGTGACCTGTGCCTTGTGTTAGAACGGGGACAGGCGCCCTCTAGGAGCTGTGGGAATGGAGGAGAAAGTGAAGAGGGCCACGCCAAGAAGTCAGTCTGTGTTCGGAGAACAGAAAAGGAGTCATTGTTCAAGGATATTTTGAAAAGACACAACAGAACCGATGAAGGAGTCACCGTGGCAACTGACTGAAGAGGAGGCGATAAGAACATTTCCAAGGTTTCCACAAGACCTGTCACTGGGATGGCGCTATTCAAAGAATTTGAGAACACCGGAGAAAGAACATTTGTGTTTTGGGGAAAAAGCGAATAAATTCCGTTTTGACTATTTGGGTTCAGGGGCCTGGCCTGGAGAAGACCACCCTCAAACCCAGGGCCTGGAAACGCCACTTTGCTAGGATGCCCAGGAGTCTGTGCGCCGCCTGGCTCAGGGGGCAGAGCCAGCTCGGGGCCTCTCACGACACAAAGAAGCGGGGGCGGGGGGGGGGGGGGGAGCCAGGGGCCGAAGTGCAAGGCTGGCGGGCTTGGGGCTTCGCTCCGTAAGGTGGCGGGAAGGTGGCTGCACTGCTTAAATGGGTGCTGGCTTCTAAGAGGCCCCTGCAGAAGCGGCCAATCCTCTGAAAAGCCTGGTCTGGCATGAGCACGGCATAGCATCACATCTTGGTGTCCAAGTGGTCACCGCCCAGAAAGGGGGGTGGGGGGAGAGGGGCCGCCCCTCCGTGGGCGGAGCGCCAGCCGCTGTGCAGCCACCTCGATTCTGCCACCGCGCTTATATGACGTAGCTGTGGAGAAACAGTGGGGGGCAAGAGTGAACCCCAGCCTGGCTCTCCTGAAAGAAATCCGAATGGGAAATCTGAATGAGTGGAGAGGGAATAAGTGAGTGAATAAATGAAGCCCGGGTATTGAAATCGGCTTCATTTGAATATAACCGGAAAAATTATAAAGCAAAGTATAAATCAGGAGGTGGGTATTCCAGTGAATGCAATATATAAATATCCATCCCGGGTCCTGTATGTTAGGAGATCACTGGGCGCACTTGGAGACTTACACACGAAGAGGCTGCGGGGCTGGGCCACCCAGCTTCTGTACCAGAAGCCAGAAAATGGTCAATGCGCAGAAAATGCTTTCCAGTATTCACGGGTAGGAAAAATAGACGTGCAAACCTCTGATGTATTTCAGGTTACTCTTTGCTCCGAGCAGATGCCGCTTGCGCTGAACGCGGCTCTCAGGGAAGGCAGGCTTCCGTGAGTCAGCACTCGCTCTCGGTGGGCGGGCCTGACGTGGGGCGGAGCAGGAGCGGTGACTTTCAGTAGGAAACGGTCAGGAGCTTTCGAGAGTTTACCAGTTAGCTCCAATCACAATGCTAAAAAATACGTACTAAAATAAGACAGGTATCTGTAGAGCACGTTACATAATCAAAAGTAAATCGTTTAGAAATAGAACGTTTTCTTCTATGCTCAGAATCCTCTGTCGGAATAGGTAATAAAATGTTTGATTTTATTCCGCAGCATGGATTTCTGATAGCTGGCTTGAAATATTCTACGGGGGCTAATAATTTCCCTTCCATGATTTTGGAGTTTTCTCTAATTAGGTCGTAAACTGTCTGCTGAGGCTACTTTGTAATTTGGCACGTAGATCTAAGCTGCTTCTTCTGATTGCACAAAAGGGAGAAGAGCAACGCGTCCAAAGGGATTAAGTCTCTATCAAATAATGGCTGCACAAATACAACCATTAAGTGCATATACAGGCGTGTGCTATAGATGTACACGCACCGATGCACATGTATATATGTATGCACATATGTATATTCCAGGTATGGTTTTGTTCTTTGATTTGGAAAACAAAAGAGACAGTAAAGAGGAAAATGAGACAAAGCCAAGCAAATCGAGCTTCCATGAGAGCAGGCCATCTACGCGCCAGACCAACATAAACCGCTGCGACCGAGGCCGGCTGAGGCAGGTGCTCGCCTGCTGGCAGGGCAGCGCCACCTCACCGGGCCCTCAGCCAAGGCCCTGCAGACACAGCCCTTAGCGCGCGAGGCAGGAGGGGGCAACCCAGGTCGGCAGACAGTATTTTAGAAGCAAAGGTCACAAGACATGATTTAAAGGTACAACTAAGATAAGATATAAAAATATATACATATTATATATATAATTATATATATAACACATATATAATTACCCTGATGAAATGACCAGATTTCATGGCTAAAGAGACCTTGAAAGTTACCAATGTAGTTTTCTGTTACCAACGCTAGTAGCAGTAATGTTTCGGCGATAAATTGTAACGGGAAAAACCTCAAGAACGATCGCTACTTTGATGCCCCCTCCATCCTACAGTATTACGTCTAGTGCCGGCGCGAAATACAGAACATTCACGGGGTAGTGTACGGTGCTGCTCGCGCCGCGAAGCCTTTCTCCTGCCTCAAGGTTGAAACTTCAGTGAGTTTCCAGGCTGAACAACTGCGTAAATTAACGCTATTCAGAACGGCTTTAACTTGCACAGCTGACTTGGGAAATGTGTGACTAAGCTGCTTGACTGGCATCGGAGGCGCATTTACAGGAGTTGTCTTATCTCTGTGCCACTTCCTGCCATTACCATCATCGCTCTCATCACAGGCAGCTGACGTGTCTCCTTCAAAAGCAAAAAAGGCCCTTGGAGAATAGTCCTGCTTAAAGCTATGGGTCGCTGACAATGTGTCTCTCGCTCATTTACATTTTGATGAAGTGAAATCTCTTCATTTGGGTCATTTTCGATACATACATCTGTGGAGAACGCGAACATGCATTTCTAATGCGACTAACATTACATGATTTATTGTTCTTCAGATGTGTAAATACAGAAGGGAAAAAAAGAAAAAAGTCCAGCTCTGAGATCCCCTGAACAGGGAGCTCTGCCAGCCACGGCAGGCGCACGTGGTGGCCTGGGCGCAGGCCGGCCCCGCGCGCTCTGTGTGTCTCGCCTCATCGTTACATCAACTGAACTAGGTCTCCAGCGTTACACACCGTCACGTGTAAGCCTGTCTACTCTGCTTGACCAACCGTCCTGGGGAGGGTCTGTGAGTGGGAAAACGAAAGGCTCAAAATGGGTTTCCATACCTGATTGTGGACTTTGTTTGGGGATTTTGGCTACCGCTTGAGGGCTGGAGGTGGAGGCCATTCGCTGGTTGGCAGAGCTGTGGATGCTGCTGGGGGCGGCCGCTGAGACATTCTTCCGAGGCTTCATGTCCTGCAGCCACATGGGCGAGGCCTCGAAGGCCTGCATCCTGCGGGCGTGGTTGTTGGCATTGACTTTCAGGTAGGCCTGCGCCTTGTGTTCTTGAAGCTCTCCGTAGTTGGCGTCGGTCACCCTGCACTCGTATAAGCCTTCGTCCTTTTTCCTCACTTTGGAGATCTGAAGCTTGTGGGAGATGTCATTGCCTTGGACTTTCACTGTCTGAAAGATTGCAGGTAAAAAAAATAAAATAAAATACAGGGCTGCATCAAACGACGGTGTCCCCACACTTTGCCCTGAGCTTGCTCGTGGTGGAAAAGGGAAGAGCCTAAAGGCCACAGCCAGCGAGCCAGCTCCGAGGTGGCGAGGGCGAGATCCCAAGCCCTTGTCTAGCCCCGTCGGCTCCAACTGGCTTCCCCCGTCACAGCGTATTCGTTCCGCCCAGCCGGCGCCTCACTCGCTGAGCCACAAGGTCCCCACTGCCTGGGTTCTGGCCTCGGCTCTGCCCTTTTCCTACCACGGGGCTGCCTCTGCCGGGTTAGCTCAGCTGAACGAAGCGCAAACCTAACAAGGCCAAGCCTAGAGTTCACACAGCCTCTTTTCTTCATTTGGGCTCCAGCTCTGAGAGGTCATGAAAATCTTTCATGGGTGGTTGTGACCAACGATGACATTAACCGAGGACGTGCTATTATCCACACAGTGGAATGACTATTAGAGGCGCTGACAAAAACACACTTGGATAGTAAAGGTTTTTCTTCTCCAAGTTTTGGTACCCTCTGACCTTAGCCATGAGTGGCTTGGCTGGCAGGGCACAGGGTGCCGATTACTATCACCTGAAGTCTGTGGCCCAGACACGATACTCCCCGCCATTACAGGGTCTTTACGCTATCGGAGCTTTAACAGCGCATGCTTTTCAAAATTGAAAACGGCTCTCTTATTTCTGCTCTTAATTTTAGGCCATATTAATAGCAAAGTTATACACCTGTGGCTATGTATAATAAATGAAATTCTATATAATATATAACATATAGACACAGGCATCTTTATCAAAACAGCTAGATTTGATATACATTATATATTATCCATGATTGGCTGAATGATGATGGATTTCATGAGACATTCAAGACTGAAGGACTTGGACGTTGTTGAAAGAGAAAAGACGTAAAGGCAACAGAAATTTATTCTGCTTCTGGCTATTACACTTTCAAATAGCCATAAGCAACTAAGATAACTTGCAAAGTATTCACCTGTTTTTCACATATAGGGGTAACCACAAGTATGTAGTGTATGGAAAATTACACTTATAGTAATACTATAAAAATAATGGAAACTAATAGCTTCAAATATATTCTCAGTTAGTCTCCTAATAAATCTGGTACTTGTCATTGTCCCATTTTCTAGGAGAGTGAACTGCAGCTCAGGGGGCTTGGGTCTGTGACCCTGAACACTGACCGCACGTTGGACCCGTCTGAGGAGCTGCTAGAAAACGTGCTCGCCTGGGTTGGTGCAGACCCACCGTCTGCGTCTCTAGGGGGTGAAGCTCTTGTCAATAGTTCATAAAAGCCCTCCTGGGAATTCTAAACTAAGCTGCTGGCTTAGGGCATCTATTCAAGGTCACTCGGTGAGTATGCCGCGAGCAAATTACTTTCCATGTCAACTTGTGTCTAGAGCTCTTTACAATTTACTAGAGTTTATGAACTATTAGCATAGATAATAAGGATAGCAGTTGTATCCAGGATTATGACTCTGATTGTATAGCTTCCCTATGTCAGGATGTGGGAGGCTGTTTTCGTTACTGGTCTTTGGAGGTACAGCAAGTGGAAGATGAGTCATCAATAAATGATCTATCCAATTACACATATATATAAAAAGTGAAGTATTTATAAGACAATATTGTCAACCATTGATCTTACCAGTTAAGCTTTTCTAACACTGTTTGAAAACAACAGTTTCTGTGACATAAGAATAATTGAATTGAAATAGTTTAAAAAATCAGTGAGGTTATAAATGTAAGTTGGAGATTCTGCTTTTTATCTTATTTTTGTTTGATATTTTCTTCCATTTTGAGATTATACATTTAGGTAATAGAATCTGATTCTATTACTATGGTGCATGTTTACACTTTTAGTTGGGATGCAACTCCAATATTATATCCTTTTCTGTGACTGTAAAAGTCTCAGGATGAATTTCCTTTTAAGTGTGGGTCATTGGATTTTCAAATTCCTAATGTATATAATATATAATAAGTAATATATATTTATGCTTAGCGGACCTTGTTTCTTATTATATAATTATTTCATTCCTAGGAAGGAAAACTTCTTTACTATTTATCAACAAATTAAGCAGTTCTATTAATATAAAATGATTCTATGTGGCTTTATTTGAGGAAGAATAAAAAATAATTTTTATTTTATTTTTTGATTTCACACACAGTTATGAAAAGTAATAACCAGTAAGGTAACAATACATCTCTATATTTTCATTAGGTTAACTTCTTCAATTATGTTTTTATGTTTATATTGGCTTTTGGTTTTATATGTATTTGATTTCATATGTTAGTGTTTTACACCCCATTAAAGGGTAATTATTTCCACAACTTTGAATGGAAAGCAGTATTCAACGCCTTACTCTTACAGTTATGTAACTGTTAAAAAGCAAAAAGAAAAAGAAAAAAGAAAAAGAAAAAAAGAAAAAAGGTGTCACACACCTCTTGTGATAGCAAGACGATTCTCTAGTAACTGTTTAAATATTTATGTCATTAAAATAAGTAATTTCATTGTACCAACTCTAAATCGGCTTCAACGTTTAGGCACTGGTTTTCGTCCTGCTTTTGCGAAACTGCCTCTTCCAGGGACAGTAAGGTAAAAGGCTTAACAGGAAGCCCGTCAGTCAACACCTAACGTGCCTCGATTTTCACCGTGGGCCTGCCTGCAGCGGACCAAGGCGCGCGCCCCCTGTCGCCGGTCCCTGTGATACTCACACTGATCTTGGTGCCGTCGTTGTCCGGGTCCCGGTCGGGCACGAGCTCCACCTGCGGGAGAAGGAGACGAACGCTCAGCCCGGGACCCGAGCGGCCCCAGCGCGGCCCCAGCGCGGCCCCGCAGCGCGGCCCGGGCCGCGGCTGGAGCACCGCGGAGGCGGGGGCTGATTGAGCACTGGGAGGAGCCGCGCGGCCACCGCCGCGCGGGGGCGCTGCCCGGTCGCGCGCGCTCGCCCGCGTCCCAGACTCGGTGTGCCCGGGCGGTAGAGACACGGGGAGGGTGGCGCGGGCTCCCGTGTGCGTGGAAGTTTGCGGGGGCGAGACTCGCCCTTTTGCCCAGATTGCGTCCCCTCCCCGGGGCCTCACGGACAGGTTGTCTTTTTGTCGCCCCGACAGCCCCGACCCGCCTGCCGCCTCTTCTGCTGAACTCTGCCTCCAGTCTGCGCTCTGACCCCCTTCCTTCCTGTCGCTTCCATCCCCGCTTCCCTTTTCCTCTGCGCCGCCTTTCTCCGCCCCTCCTCCCGTCTCCTCCCCCGGGACTCCCTCCACCGGCACCTCTCCACCCCGCACCCCCACCCTTCTGTTCGTCTGCTGCAGCGGCCTCCGGCCCCCTCCTTCGCGCCTTTCTCACCCCCTTTCTCTTCCACCCCCACCCTCTCCCCTACTACCCCCCTCCTCTTCTGCCTCTCCCCACGCACACTCATCTCTTCTGTCAGCCTCAGACATGGGGGCGGGGGACGGAGACACCCCCCGCATTCTCCACCCCAAGCCACCGTCCCGGAGATGGGGCAGCGAGTGTCCTGGGGAGGGGTCAACACTGCAGGGCCATCCTGGACAGCTTGACAATAACCAATACTAACAGGAGGAGGCCAGTCCCAGTTTTAACCAGAAAGACAAGACTTCTTCCTTGGTTTCAAACTAGAGTCACCAAGACACATTCCGGCTCACGCCCCGGCGCCCCGGGGCCTCAGCCACGCCGAGAGAGCCGGCCAAGTGGCGCCCAGGAGCCTTCGTGGGCCGCAGTCCTCCGGCTGGACACCCAGGGGGCTCAGGGGCGAGTGGGGCAGGCGCAGGGGGCGCGCGGAGCCCGCGACTCGATCCGCTACCTGCGCGCCGGCCACCTCGGCCGCGGGCTCCAGGTCCCCGGGGCCCCGCAGGAACCACCACTGGATCTCCAGGTACACCGACGCGGAGCCGCTCTGGAACGCGCACGACATCTCCACATTCTGCCCCTCCGTCGCCGTCACGTTGCGCGGAAACTCAGTAAATTTCGCTGCAAAACAGAAACGCATCCTTTTAGAATGTCCACACCACACTCGCCAGCTCTCTTTCCTTGAGACATCGCCGCATTTTTCTTGGACTGGAAAAAAAAAAATCAAAAACAAAACCCCCTCTATAACATCCTGCACTTCGCCTGGCTCTCCACCCCCCTCTCCTTTGCCTCTTGCCTATCTTATTTTTGGTGTGGTGCCTAAAGCACTTTGTTGTCGATCAAGTCTGGATAATGGGAAGCCTAACAAGCTTGCCAATGCTCACCCCCCACCCCCACCCCGCGTTAGCCGGGCTGCTCAGTTAGAAGCAAAACAAACCTTCTGTCAGACTGCAGTGGTCGCCCAAATTGGCCGAGGGATTCAATGGGGTGCATTTTAGACAAACCTGTCAAGTTGATATATGGGGACAGCCTCTTGCCTCCAAGTTTCTAAACAATGTATGATAACTGGATGTTTTATGTAACAGAGAATGGATCAGGATTACCTGTCAGGAGGCACATTCCTCCTATGTCAAAGCAATTAGCAGTTGCGATTCAAAGACCACAGCCCCGAGGCAAGTCACACACTTCCTACACTGCGAACACTTCTTCCTCCCAAATTCACCTTCACGAGGATTCCTAGGAAGCCCCTGTATTGCACATTGCCATACACCATGGGATGGAAGAATCAGACATCAGGGCTCGGCTGGATTAGAAGATTGTTGTGAAGCCACTGGAGAGATTCCCGCCCCCCCCCCCCCCCCCCCCCATCTTTTCATCACCAGCCTCGACTCTGCTAGTTTGCAAGATTCATGGAATCAAGGCAAAACTCACACAGAGAAGATGTTCCCTTTCTCCCAAAGGCATTTCCCTGTCATGGAATGTTTTGGATGGTGGTTCTTCTGTTGTCTAAGGGGCACTTTGGGAAGAGCTGACGGTGCCCTACAAGTGGCGCTGAGATTTGCGGCTGGCAGTTGTGCCCCGATACAGCGCACACGCAGGAGAGAAGGAGCCGGGGGCTGCAGGGCCGGCTCTGGGCGGGCGCATGTTTCCCCCACTTTTTAAGCAGAGACGCCATCCGCGCCCCTTTTCACGGTTGCATGAAATCCCACATGATCTCCATGGAAATGGAACTGCATTTATACTCAGAGCAGAGGGAGACGCGAAGAAGACACTCGGATGGGAACGGGAGTTTTTGTTCCAGCGGCGGGGAGGAGGCGGCCCTTCTGCGGGCGCAGCGACGCAGCCCTCCGGCCGCCGAGCCGAGACCTGTTCGTGGTGCTGAAACGAGCCGGGCGGCCCCGGAGCCCAGAACAGCTGGATCCCGCCGGCCGCCGCCGCTGCTCGGCGTGCCAGCTGGGCCTTTTTAGGGGTCCTCGGAAGCGTCTGTCCTTTGATAAGCACACATGCAAACGGAGTCACACGGACCCCGAAAAAGGACACTCGAAACCCAATCTGCCTCCACGGAGCAGGAGGGCTGGTCACGGAGGGTCCCTGTTTGTTTGCGACGATTATGTATGCATGAGTGGTTATGCTGTGCATGCACACACCACACACCACACACCACACACACACCGCACACACGCACCCCTCTGTTTCTGCTCGCCGAGCCACCTGCCCACTGTCAGGCACCGAAGAGCTTTGCGCTCAAATCTAGCATGCCTACTATTTAATCAACTTTAAATAAAAATGCCGAACAGAACCCATTCCACTGTTGCGTGCGAGGACGCTCACATCTGCCTGGAAACACACACACACACGCACACACACGCACACACACATGCCGCAAGCAAATGTACATTTGCCAATGAGCACACACTTACCTTGGGAAGAAAGCCCTTGCTGCACGTATAAAACAGAAAAGAAGACAAATCCAACATACGCCAAAAAGATCCCCATCATTCCAAAAAAAAAAAAAAAAAAAAAAAGAAAAGAAAAGGAGGGGGTCACATCAGCGTCGCCAACAGCCAAAAAAGCCCTAAAAGAAAGGGACGCCGCCGAGTCCGAGGCTGCCTCAGAGCCCCGGGCGCGCCGCCGCGCGCATGCCGCTGCTGGCGGGGCGGGACTGGCTGCGGAGAGGGGGAGCCGCTGGCGGGGGCCGCCGGCCGCCGCGGCTCGGCCAGCCCGGGCGCGCAGAGCCGCCTGGCAGCGCCGGAGTGTCTCCGCCGCGGGCTGCCGCGTCCCGCTACCTGGCGGCTCGGCCCACGTCAGCCGCGGCTCGGGCTTGCGCGATCACTGCCCTCCCTCCACGCCGCGCCAGCCGGGGAAGTGGGGAGCGGGCCGGGGCGGGCGGAGGACCTCGCCGGGCTCGCCGCGCCGCAACTTTTCCCTCTAATGGCTGCGATGATGCCTTTAACTCTCTGCGCGCCGGGCCGCCCGCACCTGCCGGGGGCTGGGCCGCGCTGCCCGCAGGAGGCGCGGGGCTCGGCGCAGCTTCCGTCTACGGCTTCCTTCTCGGAGCGGAGACATTTGGTTCCCCCCGCCCCGCAATGTGCTTCTTCCCCCACGTCGGCTGAGTCTTTCCTGCCCCGGCGCGCTCGGCGCCGCCGAAGGGAGCAATGCGCCTGCAGGACGGCGGGGCAGCGCCGCCGGGGCAGGCGCTCCGGGCTGGAGCAGGAAGTTGGGGCACGTTGGGGGGAGGGGATGGCGTGGGGCGAAAGAGGCCGCTTTGGGGCGATGAGCACAGCCATTCGAGGGACACGTCGCTTAACCAGTTATTAACGGCCCTAACTAGAATGATCACATGCTATTATTTCACACCGATTCCTTGCTGACTCCCGCGGAAGAGAAACAGCGCAGGCAGGAGCTGTGCCTCTCCAGCTGCCAAACGGGAAAGGCAGAAAGTCCGAAAAGTCACGCACTGAGAGAATCTTCCAGAACAAAGGGCCTATCCCACTCCGTTTACTTTTATTTATTAAAAAATGCAGGTACCCACTGTCTTCCCTGCCTCCATCTCCAGCGTGTTTTGGAGCTGGAGGGATTGAAATACCATCGAGGTCTTCACTGCATGATTTGCTTTGTTTATTTGCTTTTTCTTTTGCTTACCACCATAATTATTTAATGTTCCCGAGGATTATATGAAGAAGGAATGTTGTTTTAGGAAGAAAAAGTACAGGAAGTTTTACAATTTGGAACAAACCTAGTTATCGGCCCTGGAGAAGCTTTGGGATGTAGATTCTATTTCTTATTAAGAATTAAAAAACAGTATGCATTACATTAAAGACTCCATTTGTCCTTATGAAGTCCAACCATTAGCCAGTGATTTTAAATCTTTTTAACAAAACTAAAATTATTTGCTAGCTAAGCAGAGTACCGGATATTTTATTCCTCTTATTATTTCCATTAATACTTCAAATCTACAATATTATTTGGAAATATGACTCAGTCTTAACAGTGTGGTCAGGAAACCAATGCAGTACGATGTATTTTCACTTTACTGATAAAACATTTGCAGTTGGCTAGATCCTTCACTGTCCAGGAAAAATTAACCTTAACATGGCTGTTGCCGTTTTAAACCACTGTCTACTGCTGAATGTGGAAGTAACTGACAAGATCAGAAAACAAAGTCACAATAACTTCACGGCAATATTATGTATTTTCAGAGGCTATATTGATTTTTCACTGCGGGTCGAGGCAGAATATAACATTTGGAGAAAGTCATGGGGATGTTTCACTTCCTCTCAGGTCTAGGCCAATAGGATGCTATATCCTTCTGCACTGAGCCAAGGGCCCTGAAGTCTGTCAGTGCAAAAATAAGCCTCTTTATGCCCAAACACATGCTCGTGGATAATGTGTTCAGAACAAACCCAAGGCAATACATCTACCTCGTACCAAACATTTGGGAAATGACACTTTCCAGGTGTTAGTCCTCAGAGGACCCTCTAGCCTTACATTTTGTGCCTAATGGACTGTGTTTAATGTTTATCGCAAGGCTTTAACCTTCTTTGAGGCTTCAACATGGACATGTGATTAGTATGTCATGCACATCCCCTGACTTCAAGGTGATCTTCTGTTGGTAGAGTTTCCAGTACAGAGAAAAAGGCATCCGATAACCAGGGGGTGTGGGGTGGGGGGTTAGTAAAGGGTAAATGGGGTCAAATATAGGGCAACGGAAGATGATGTGACTTCGGGTGGTGGGCACAGTGCCAAATACAGATCCCGTGTCATAGAAATGGACGCTTGAAACCTAGGGAATCTTGGTAACCAATATTGCCCCCCAAAATTTAATTAAAAAAAATAAGAAAAGCTCTAACCATAAAAAAAGAAAAGGGCATCCATTTTAAGCAAGTGGTGGGGGGTTTGCGTTATTTTAGCGAAGCACTTCGATTTCTTTTAAGGGGAACTTGATCACTGTTGCTGAAAAGGAATAATGAAAGTTAGTTTAAAACGTGAAAAGTAAAGCATGAGAGAAGCTTTTACAGCACAGACAAACCACCAGGCACTCTAAATAGAAAGTTATAACATCAAAGCAGTGAGAGGAAGAAGGGAGGAAGGAAGGAAGAGAGGGAGGGAGGGAGGAAAAATTGGAAAAGGATTTATGGTTTTTTTTCCCTATGAAAAGTGCCTGATAGATATTCTATTTTCTGTTTGGCCAATGTAGACCAAAATTTTTATCTTAAATGCCATCTGTTATATCATCTCAAGGGCTGTAAACACATTTGCATTATCTCCCTTAGAACGTTTGCTTCATTTAAGACAGAATGTTTCTCTATTAAAAGTTTGAAATGATAAGAAAATATAATTAAAATGTAAATATATCCAGTATATCAAATGACACAGTTCTGAGACTAAGTCCCGTTATTTGAAATAAATCCTCGTAGAGCACTGCACTCTCTACAAGATTGGCGGTAGCTGGTCAGGACAGACAAGCTGCCTGCACCCATGAGTAGGAGCGGTGTTTCCTGTCTGTCTGCCCTTCCCCAGGATGGTGGCTGAGGCCTTATTCTATAAAACTGATTGCAGAGCTCTCTCTCCCTCTCTCTCTCTTTTTTTTTTTTTTAAAAAAACCTATTCATGAATTAATGCTCCCAAAATACAATCCTACAATCTCATTTTTTTTGTTGTTGTTTTCTTTTGGTCATTTGGTCATTTGGGTTAACTTTTGGTCATTTTTTTCTTTTTTAAAATTTGAATACCTTTATCCCCACAGCTATTATCCCCCAGAATTTGTAATAGGAATGCTTACATGAATACGCTCCTTCCTCAGGCGTGATTAAATCTATTGAATTCTGTTGACTTTTTTGGTATCTACTGCATTTTATTTTATTTATTTGTATATAACAACTAGTTTAAGTTTGCCTTTTAAACTCTGCCCCCTTACGACGTCCGCTGCTGTGACGTCGGCTTTCAGGGCCGCTCGTCCCCCAAGAGCTAAGCTAGGGGTGGGCCCCGTAAGGGCTGCGGTCACACACCCCATCCCCCCTTTTCCTAAGGGGGCCTTGACCTTGAGAAGGATCCATATTTCACACCCACAGCTCATGACAGAATGACTTTTTACATCACGCTGTCAAAATCGGTTCTAATTTGAGGCTTACGTACCCACCGTAAACTTTCCTGAGTAATTGAAGACACAAAATTAGGCATTTTATGTAGATAGAACCTTTAAAATGAAACCATCTCAGGAGCTGGAAGGTCATCCTTGTGACCGAAGGTGTCGCTCCAGTTCACCTCTCCTGCAGGTGTCGCGCGTGGGCCAGCAGAGCTGCGCACGCGCTTCCACCCACGCGGGGAAGGCGCGCCCCACTCTCTTCTCACGTGTTCTTTGGAGGAGCTCAAAACTGCCTGGGAGATAACGAAGAAGAAAGAAAAGGAAGTGGAAGAAGGATTAATAGAGGGAAAAAAACCCAAATCTCTTCCACAGCAGGCTTTGAAAAATATCTTGACTTTAAAAAAGGAAAAATAGCTACTTTCAGAACTATTTAGGAAAGCCTGCTTATCACAAAAAACAAACAAACCAACAAACCCCACCTAGCAGAGACTATTTCAGAATATTGAGGAAAATTTTTCTTACTTGGGGAAATAAAAAAAATATTAGTCTTTACATGTGGAATCAATATTAATAATCCACAAAGAAACTCTTTATCAACTAAATAAATGTAAAGAAGGTAAAGAAAATGCAACGGAAGGCAGGTCCTGCTGCCTGCTGCAAAGAAAGCCAAACTTGTGAGGCAGGTACTGGGGAGAAGGGAAGCCGTTGATTCAGATGCCAGCCGCCTGAGAAGATGGCGGCTCTGGTCCCAAAGCCCACCTGCCCCTCTCAGCGCAGGCAGAGGTGTTTCTACGGAGGGAGGGGAAGCAGAGCGAGGAGCTCAAGGGAGGGGTTGGAAAGGTCTCTGTGTGCAGATGAGCACCGTCCGTCCCGAGAAGGACCTTGCAACTGGTCAAGTGATGGTCTGCGATGGCCATCCTGGCTTTCATCATCTTAGTTTCATGTCATCCTGGGTCTGTGGTTGAAGGCCAGCAAATGTCCCCAAGCTGGGACGCCTCACGGTGCGAGACGGACCTTCTGAAGCTAGGTCCTAGGATTCCGTCACAAACGTGCTGTTCATCCACAAGCTGCACAGTAACCAGAGTCAACACGGACAGAAACAACGTCAAAAGAACAGCGGGCGGGTGACAATTCCCCGCTGCTATAAAAACGAGAGTCCAAGAGAAAGTCACTAACGCATATTAACCAAAGACAAGCTTTTAAATGTTTTCCACTGAATCACAGAAGCAAGTGCCTTGGTGGTGCTGGGTTTACCGGTATTCTCCACATCACATTGTCAAAGATATGATAAGGTCAAGGACAAGATAATGACAGAAGAAACAACATGAACAATGTCTCTTTCTACACATGCCCATAGCATGTCTTCATGAAATAAATGAACTTCCGAACTGGAACGGAGCTGAGTAAGCAAATA